GCATCTTGTGCTCACTACCGGAGAGATTGTCTAAGATGTCAATTTGTGCGTCAGGAATCCTCAGGGTGAAGATTAAATCCAGTATGGTGACAGACCTAGTTTGTCTGGTAACCCACTGAGTCCAACCCTCAACTCTGAATACTGAATACTGTATGATAGAGCAAGTAGAAATGAATTCTGTACAACTCTTTCGAGATATGGTGAAAAACGTAATAAATAGTCAGCCGCGAATATTGTTATCGTTCTCATGTAACATTTAAAAGATCTGACTCACGGTATTGCAGGACTCACAAATGTGACATGGTATCTTAATTGTGCAATCTTTCTCTGAATCGAATAGTGGTAAAATATAAATCTAATAACGTTTTGAACTGCTGCACAGATGTTGCCTCCATCACATGTTCAGGCAAACTGTTCCAAATATTTATCACTCTCTGTTTCACATCCGGCACAACAAGTTTGTATCTTTGTCCGCGTGTGCTGCATGGTCCTCGTAAGTGCAGCACTGGCCTCAGCATGGGGGTCACCGAGATTTAGAATACGGTCATAATGAGGTCGACTCGCACCCGACGGTAGGACAAGGGGTAGAGTCCTAGTTTCTCGCACCGGTCTTCATACCCAAAGCCACGTAAACTGGAGATGAGCCTAGTAGCAACATGTTGGACCCGTTCGATCTTTTGTGCCTCGTCTCGGGTAATCGGAAAGTAGGCGGGCGAACCGTACTCTAGCGTTGGTCTAATGATGGAAGAGAAGAGACGAGTGGCAACCTCTTCAGACCATGTGCCGAAGCTACGTTTGAGCGCCCAAAGCATGCGCAGTCCGTTACGATATAGCCTGTTCGTGTTGTCCACGGACTTTAAATCGTAGCGCGAGAGTACACCTAGGTCCTTCACGGAGGGTGTTGGATATAGCGGTTGGCAGTTAAGGGTGTAGGTTCGGCCGTCAGCACCCTTCCCCCGGCTCATAAATACAGACTTGGCTGGGTTTACCTGGAGAAGAACTTCTGCAGAACATGTGGATAGACAGTTGAGGTCTTGCTGAAATAGACCACAGTCATCCGGAGCGTCAATTTCCCTCCAAATCTTCATGTCGTCCGCAAACAAGGCACACGGCGACCGGAGAAGCTGTGGTAGATCGTTGATGTGGAACAGGAACAGAGTTGGTCCCAGCACAGTGCCTTGTGGCACGCCACTTGTAGAGGGATACCAGTCAGTTAGATGGTCGTCGACCTGTACCCTCCACTTTCGTCCAACAAGAAAGTCGTGGATCCACCGGTGCAGTGAGCCACCGACACCACACATCCTGAGTTTGTGAAGGAGAACCTCATGGCTGACCTTGTCGAACGCTTTACTGAAATCGATGAATATCACGTCGACAGACTTCCCCTTGCTCATTGCCTTCAACCACCCATGCCTCGTCACAAGCAGGTACGTAATGCATGAGCGGTCTTGCATAAAACCGTGCTGTGCGGGGGTCAGGACCTCGTTTAATTGTAGCAACTGCAGCAATCCCTTCTTCATGATTTTCTCAGCAATTATTGCCAATTAGGTGTCAGACAAATTGGCCTGTAGTTGTCTACTTTGCTAGGGTCGTAGCCTTTCGGAATAGGCTTCGCCACCAAACATTTCCAGTCAACTGGCAACGAACGTTCGAACAGCAACCGGTTGAAATAGTCTGTCACGACAGGTGAGATGATGGTCGAAAGTGATTTAATAGTGGATAAGAAAGATCTGTGCAATGATGACAATGTTTGAGGTGACCAAGTAATCTTCGGTAGATTGAAATCACCAGCGATTATCTTTAGACCGTGGTGTAACACCGATGCAAAATCGAAGGCTGAGGAGATAATTGCAATATCATTGGCTGTCGCTTTCGGAGGGCTGTAGATGCAACCGAGAAGTATTGTAGAGGAAGCTGCAGCGACTGATGGCGATAAAGATCCTGGGACATTGTTTAACTGTGGGTCATTAATGAACTCCGCTCTGAACTTACGATGGAGATATACGATGCACCCGCCGCCTTTCTTTGTGCTGCGATCTTTTCGAAATAGATAGTAGTTAGGAATATCGAAAGTAGCATTCAATGTATCAAGGGAGCATCCTGTTTCGGTGACGAAGCTTGCATGTGAGGTGCTCAGCTGAGTAAGTATGCTTACAAAATGTAGATTGTTTTTTATGGATCTTGCGTTAATTAGTGTAAGTGAAAATGTAGTATGCACTAAAGCGTTTTCTGTGAGTACTTCAAAGGTTTGGGAATCAGAAATGACGGGCAAATAAGTTAAATAAGGGTGGTGAAAACAAACCCATCGGTAGAATGCTCAGGTCTAAGGGCATTGTTCACGGCTAGTAAGACCGGTTAGGCGGAAATGCTTGATGTCCCGAGGCAAAGTTGGGGTTTATCTGATATCGAACTAACTGTGACGTGTGGATGAACTGCTAGAAAAGTGGAGCAAGATAGGATGACTCTGCTGGGTATGTCAGTGATGGGAATGGATTCGGAGCTATTCCCGCTTCCACTAAAAAAGGGTTAAGGTAAATTGATGGATTCTGAAGTGCTGCATGGGTATGTCGCATGACAGGTGGTATCGTCAGGTTTTCAACATCCTTTTGATTTTCATTTCTCTATCTATGGTTGTTGTAGACGTGAGATTGATAAGTATGCTGGCCTATTGGAGGTTGATAGGTAGGTGTAGCCGGAATATAATTGTTGAGAGTTCTAACGGGTTTGAAGTGACGCGTAGCGACGCGATGGCAAGGCAGTTGTTGACATGCAGATTTGAGCGCTACCGAGTTCCTCATAGATGCGTATTTTGTGTAAATACCAGTCGATGATATATTTGTGTTTACGACTTCAGCACGCAAATCCGGGGGTGCATCTTGACGTGTGTATCTGTTTCCCGGTGTTTTTATTTGTTTCCCGACAGTCCCTTTTTCGCCACATCTAACACTTCCTGTAGTGATTAAACCGTTTGAGATCGAAGCAATGAGGCCGCGGTCATGACTACTGGCGTCAGTTAACCTCGGTTGTCGTACAGTAGGCGTTGAGATAGGAGGTGAGGCAGAGTTATTTGATATTATCGCCCCTAGATACGAGTTGTTCCATTGTTCCATTGATCCACGTTGGTAATTGCAGTTGCCACACTTGGTGTGCCATTTTCGTGTGGATTTGGGTGAGGTTTATCAGCGTAGCTGTTACACTTTTCCAGCAGTTTCAGTGTACATCTGAGGAGGGATCGTTGCAGAGACCTACGATCAGGCTTAATCAAAATATCATTGTAATGATATGTTGGCTGTGCAATAAACAAGCTGCCAGTTCTTCGCTTGAAAATTTAATATTGACTGGACAGCAATGCCTCGGCGTTTTTTTTCAGTCGCAGACATTTACAGACGACATCGGACATGTTAAAAGCGCTAAGTACATTCGTCTTTATTTTGCTCAAACTGAATCTGTCTGGTATGTTAAAAGCGATCACATTTTTTACTATACGGTTTCTTTCATGTATCTCTGGGACGATGGAGTCGATTAGTTGACCTGCATTTTTGAGGTGAACATGATCAAACTTATCTGATGGGTTGCTAATGTAATATAGTGAAACTAAGTGATCTTTGAGGGGCTCATAAAAGGCAAAATTTTTCTACATTTCGTCGAGCTCTGATTGCAAGAAGCAGACTCTAGCGCTAAGTTCAGATGTGAGCTGAGAGGCCGGTGAAGAACAGTCTAGTGGTAGTTTTGCTCGTTTGGGCCGTAGCACTGAGGGTATATTGTCCTTAAGTAAGCGAGTGCGTTTGAACTACAGTGTAGCCATAGCAAACCAGGTATCAACAGTCAGATTAATGGGGTAAAGGGAACATGACAAAACCAACCTGTTCTGACTTGATTCAATACACCTTGACAGTACGTATTTACCAAATCACGGTTGGCGGCATCCGGTCTGGGATTTGCCTATCACTGTGGCCAGCCACAGGACGCCTGCACCTACAGAGGGACCATGGATGGCTTGCGCTGCACCACCCACAGTTCCATCCACACACCACATATCCAGTGTAAACCCGCAAGAATAAGACCAGGAGACATGTGGATGGGAGCCACGTTTCATCAACAGGGCCGGCCCACACTCCTTCACAGGCAAACACAAGCACGCTGAATTTCGGGAATCAAGCGCACAGGAGGCGGTGCCTTGACCGTAGTCCGCTCCACACTGACTGCACGGAACCACTCTTCGAGCCTAGCACGACCACAAGGACCGTGCACCCCGTCCCCTCCAGCAACGACAAACTGTGTCCTGGAGCCAGTATGGACGAGGTAGTGGGTAATAGACAGGTAGGCACCTTGTCAACATGCACATCAAGCGCAGCCACACCTGGGATATCAACCAACAGCCAATCACTTGAAACGACAAGATGAAATAAAATAAATCCAATAATGCATACAGATGCGGTGGCATAACTCTTCGCTAAATTAGCATATGAAGTAAGTTGGTTGGCAACGAATCCGCGATAAGTAAGATATGTCCACAAGTTAGTTAAAAATACTAAAAACGCAACCAAATTATCGAAGATAAGCGCAATTAGCGTAGGCAACGTGGCCAGTTAATAGAAGATTATTCAGGTAAGCAGAACAGAGCAAATAAAGTGGAATAAAATTTATCCACATTCAAAAAACCTAGTTTAGGTGTAAGTTGGTTTAGCCCAACTGCGGTGAAGAAGCATCAAGAATGCAACATCAGCCTCAGCCCATGACAATAAAGCATTAACTATCAGCTTTGCTCAGTGATGTTACTTCTGTTTTCGATTTTTAGCTATTATTTTCTGATACTCGCACGCCCTAACTTTTGGTTATTACTTCTGAATGAGCCCTGAATGTACGTAATTCCTGGATTTGTAAGGCATATTTTCGCTTTGATTTAACTTCACAACCTGTCAGCATATTCAACATACTGCTTCCAACCAACACCATTGAGCAACACTCTGTTGGATAATGTTTACCGTTGTTGTTTATAGGGAGCCCGTTCCAATTCACTGTCGGAGCGATCACAGATGGCGGGGCGCATAAAGTGCGCGCATCAGGTCCGGGGCTTCAGCATGGGTTAACTTATGCGCCCAACGATTTCAGCATTTACACCCGTGAGGCCGGAGCCGGTGGTTTATCGGTCGCGATCGAAGGACCAAGTAAAGCGGAAATTGATTTTGAGGTGAGCACATTCCCGGGATAGGTTTCACTCGCTGCTGTTGCTTTACACAGGCATCGTCGCCCTATAAGCTTTCTTTTTGTTTTACTGTGACCGGAGTTTGGCATTTCTAACAATTCAAACTTTGTATGTTTAATAAATTCTGAAGGTGAGGGACGTGTCCTGTTCGTCATTTACCTCGTCTACTCTTCCGCTCCATATATGTAGCTGTTCGTATGTTACGCTTCGCTCGCCCCAGACGGCACTTAGGCTGTTGACAACCGCAATGCATTCCGCAACCATTATGCATCCGCCATATGGGTTTACAGTGAACATTTATCACTAGGATTCACCGGTGTCCTTCCACATTTTTCACGAAATATGGACGCAGCTTCTCACATAGAGAAATATACCTGTTATTATTATTATTCTCCTAAGGAATTCAACCTCTTTGACCATGCAACTTACAGTCATCGCTTAATAATACTAATAATAATACCCATAATAATAAAGTATTCTCCTTATTCTGCGAGACACGCCGTTTTCAACAAGGTAAGATTTGGCAGTTTACTCGCGGTTCATGTAGTACAACTGGATAAGGAAAGCGTAGCTGGGTCTCTCAGAAGCAGTATGACATCGTAAAGTTTATAGTGTCCTGCTTTATTAGGCTGCCGAATTATTTCCTAGCGACGTTGCTATATTGATGCCAGAGATGCTATAGCTCGGATCAGTCCTGGAACAAAGCGGTCGCATCGCTTTGGTCTGACTGCCTTTTTGGATATACTCCTCACCTACTCGGCGCACGCTGAAGAGCCTAAACTCATCGGACGTAGAGTTACTAGCCCATTTTAGCGGATCTATTTTTGCGCGTTTTTCTCCCTACATTGCTAATCCATCAGCGACTGCTGTTTTCGCAGATATTCTGCAGAAATACCCGTATACAACTACCTTATTCCTCATCTGCACACATCGACGTAATCTTCATTCGAGGGAGCGCTCCGAGCGCTTTTCAACAAGCCCGAGAAGAGCATTCAAGATTCCGCTCGGAAACTGCAGACATTTTGCAGTCATCAGATTCAGGATACTCGGTCTCCTCCGCTGGATGTTGACCACTATCGACTATCCGTAATGGGAACTTTCAGGATTTAGACTACTGCTCCTTTACTAGCTTCTGCGGGTTATACGCAACAACAGAGATTTCTTGTACGGCAAGAAATCCTTATGAGTGCTGACCGATCTGTGTTCCGTATATTGGTAAGAAAGAATGCAAAAACATTCAAGGAGAAATAACGGAAGTGCATCTGCAGTGGCAGCGCCTTTCAAGTTTGAGCGGCATATTCATTTACAATTTGCCGTGCTCAGAAATGGCATATTGTAACACGGAGGTTATAGTTAGATTAGCCCAACCAGTCCACCAGGGAAGAATATAGCAAGCGGCATACACTGGGAGCTCTATTCACAAGTTAGTGGTCTAACACTGGATAGTCTCAGGTTTTTTATCGATAAACGCACAACTCCTGCGCACACGCCCACACCCACGCCTTTTGAACTCACACCACAATCGCGATGCCAGGTGCTGATGCGTGCTTGTCTGATCTCAGGTCACAGTCACGTGACTTACGGGTAACGCCCACTCGTCTGTCGGCTACCTGTAACTTCAGCATCATCGCCTAATGTTTGACTGAATCGTCATTTGAACAAATTAGGGTGGGACGGTGGGGACTCGTGCTACTTTCCTTACCGGTCTCTATGGTCACATGTGAATACTCGGCTAGGCGTGGCCGATAAATGTTGGTTACACCTTGTACGACCCAACCAGTAAATGTGAGGCAACGCGTCTCCTCCCCCACTGTCGTGTGCGTCATTCAGATGTAGTGGACTAGGTTCACCACAAAAGCAGCCTCCTCACCAGACAACCGTCTATCTCTTAGCATTATGCGCGCTGACTCAAGCGATTACCAGTTTTCATGATTTCAGGGAATCAGTCACTGTTGGTGTTCCAATATATCGAAACGGCTATCTGACGTTTTCTCGACTTTGCGATGACCCCATACCACTTCCCTAATATCCGGTATACTGTGTCAAGTGAATTTCCTAATCGATTCTGTCTTGGAGCACTAAGCCTTTCCAAGACAGCCGTTACCGCTGCAAACGTGTGCACGATAAGTCTGTCGCAGTTGTCGCGGCAAGCAATTTAAGTGCACCAACCTTACTTATGTATTTCAAACCAGTACTTATTTCAAAATAGCAAGAAGAAGCAGCATTTCAACAGCATATTCTGAATTCAGGTATTTCGTGTCCGCTCATCAGCTGTTGACAGAAAACCAGTGGAACTACTACAATGTAACACACCAAGGTAAAACGGGGTACAAAATCGTTCGGTTTAAATGAAGCTAATCGATAACGCCTCACCAGGGTAAGGCTAGGGTAGTCAGAAATTTTGTCGGACATACTTTGGGCTTCAGCCTACGGATCGCTTAGGCCTCTGCAAACTGAAGCAGACGGGCAGTGCTTTGCCGACTAATAATCCTGAATGACTCACCTGGATCCAGTATGTGCCGGACAACTGAGCTAGCGGGCAACTTCGGGCCATCTGTTACCATGTTACGCAGGACATGCTCTGGAATCCTTGTGGATAGTCTCCTCTCAGTTCGGCCCACATACTTACTCCCGCAAGTACAATGAAAAAGTTAACTACAGAAGGCGGTAACTTTAGAGTCTGGCTTGTCCAGATCGGATTTGAAGGGCAATTTTCTAACATGGTGTAGTAATACTAGCTCGGCTGCGTAATAACATCTCTTAATGAACTGACGGAGACGATATCGAAATCGTCTATTTTGGTTTCCTTTAACTGGTAGCTGGATGAATACTTTCTTCTCAGGGACGACATCTGCATTCTTTTCAATGGCTTTAACCTTTGAGTGGCATGCTATGAATATGTTGGGATACCCGTTTTCACCTGGTGTTGCCAAGACGCGCTGTAACTCACTGTCATTGATCTCAACGGAGCAATCGTTTGTAGGAAATAACTAGTTTATTCTCGATTGCATCGAGGCACGTCTTACCAGGCATGATCAAAGTTTTACAGACAATGTTTTGCAGTAGGCACATTGTGTTGTATGCATAAATGGGGAAAGTACAAGTGAGGAAAGCATCAAAGGTGAAGTGGCAATTGTTCGTGTCCATGTGGATGTAGCGTAGTGTGGAAAGTTGTAGGCTGTGACTTTATTATGGTCGGTAATTGTATAAAATATGGCAAGTTAACCAGTAACATACTGGATTTGTGTGTCTGTATATATGTAGGTGTATGTGTTAGTGGGCATTGTGAGTGAACTTGTGAAGTGTGACTGAATTCGTGAGTTTGTTTGCTGTGTTCGCCATCGTATGAAGGGATCAATGGAACTCTTCGAATTGGATGACGTTTGTGAAGTGAGGATCCTCCGGAAGGGGAAGAGGCTGTGCCTTTATTTAGTGGCGAGTCACATCCGCCACGTCGCAGTGTTGTTAAACGGACCTTTGTGGCTTTTTATAGGGAGAACGCTTGCCAGGCGAAAACCCACCACGTCCTGGAACACTGTCGCCGAACTATTCGCTGGAACAGGATTAACCCGAACCACCCAGCTGGCACTACGTGGAGGTTGTTCGGCTAGCCAGCCGGACAAAAACTGTTAAAGTTGTGCTAATGTCCTGTCCAAGTGGGTTTCCGGTGCACGGACACATGGAAGGTGTCTCCTGTTTCATTTTCCATCATACATTTGATTGAGGGATGACACTGATTCAGGGTATCAGATAGATGCGCGTTACTTGTTGAGCACTATCAACGACAACAAATGCGTCGTAGAGATATCTGGAATGCTAGTGCAAGTTCTGGGCTGACTTGCCGAGCAACCTCCTCGTGGTGCCAGCTGGGTGGTTCGGGATTTTCCCGTTCCAGCCAATGGTTCGGCGGCAATGTTCCAGGACGTGGTGGGTTTTCGTATGGAAAGCGTTTTCTCTATAAAAAAAAAACACATATGTCCGTTAACAACACTGTGACGTGGCGGATGTGACTCGCCACTAAATAAAGTCACTGCCCCTTGCTTCATCCTGGCGAAGCATTGTATTCCAACAATTTTGTGCTGTAATTCTGGGGAGCATTGGGCCCCTGTTTGACAAAGGAACAAAGGAAAGGCGTATGAACTGAGCAATCACTCACCGGCTCCCAATGGACGCGATTCCCTTAATTCGCTCTGCTGCCTTGCGGGCAGGCTGTTCAGCCTATAAGTCAACATCCTACTTTGGCTTGGGCAACCGGGTAGTATCACGCCCTCTGACGAAACCATGGACTTTGATGTGTTGTGTTGTGTTTTCCTTTACAATTTCCGTACTTTCCTTTGTGTTCCATGGTTTCTGATGGCTCGATGTCTATTCATAGACTGTTGCAATATATATATATATATATATTTGATGATACATTGCTTCCTTGAATTGGAGCTGGATATCCCTCGGACACCATAAGTATAAACCTAGTCTCGCGTTCTTGCAAATGTGGCACCTAGGGAATCGATTCTTATGACATATAATATGACCCCGCATCTATTGCATTTGTGACAAGCTCTAATGAAATATCTTCAGTTTTCATCCCATTCAAACAATGAGGTTGGATTATTAGTCAAACTTAACGGGTATTCAATGTTTGCTTTCAATATCCCTGGTGCCCGATATTACTTGGTGAAGGTCTCAAAACTGATGCCTGGAACTCAGGAACAGTAGTAGCCTTCTCCCAGTGCTATGTTTAATGTTAAATTCGAAGATCACACAGATATCTGGCATCCCAGGTGGTTCATATTGGCAGGAGACCAAAATTATAATAAAAATCCAGTCAAAAATGCCAGACTATCGCGACATACAGAGAGGAGTGAGAGGCAGCAATTCGGTTGATCTAACCCATTAGCAGGCGGACAATACAAATTGTTCTTAGCCAGCAATATGTTAACAGCACGTATGGGTTGATTGAATCAAGAGTTGGATAAGCTGGTCTTTCGGTCTTAGGCTGTCTAAGCCTTGTCATGTCTTAAATCTGCACTGGAATCACGCGTAAGTGCGCAAACGTGGAGCAGCCACGAAAACCGTGTACCGGGGTATTATGAGAACAGCTATTAGACATTCGTTTATTGTGAACGAGCTTGATAGCTATTCTTTACTCTTCCTTTTTTATATTTCCTGATTGTTGTTTAAACGCTCTACTGGGTTAACCCGATTGGTACATCCACGCCATTGTTAATGGACGCTCCTCGTCATGTCCTTCTCAGCAGCGCCATTTGCAAGAACATATTCTATTGTTTTTTCTCATCACTGTTCTACTTGGTTATGTTAAAGGAATATTTAGTTGTCACACAATTATTGTACTAGTTTTCAACTTTTGGGTCTGCATTCCTTATTCTTGTTTGTTTCGTGACTTTTGTTTAAACTTTCCATTTCGGCATTCTGATTGGCCAGTGCCCGTCACTGTAAATGGACGTTCGCTTTATGCTTGGAGCCCCATGATGCTATTCTGTAGGACATATGCGATTCGCTCTTGAGTACACGGTTGCTTATTCGCCGTTGCATTTGACGTTTTTCCTTCTGTTGGTTGGCTCAAGTGTACTTTAGTAGCTTCCCTTCATTTTGCCCTCAAAACTATATAAGCAACTGTGGTTTCACGTATACAAGTCTCATTCTGGCTCGTCTTTGGACTTCTTGCGGTCGTGGGGTGAAGGCGTCAGTGGCGACACAACACGGGGACTGTAGTGGCAGACATTTTAATAGATCACGCAGCCTGTGTGCCCGGAACTCACCGTTTATTGGGGATGCAGCTTTCAATTAGATTGGAGTGATTGGCTTCGGGTAGCCTACAGCAGTTCGAAAATAGACGCGGTTTCCCATCTTTGATCCGCGTGAATTTTTGAATAAAATGCTCCTTAAGGTGTACACATGTTGTTTGTTTGAACTGCGGACGAACATTTTGGTGCCTGTTGCCACAGTTACACGGGGTGGTAGGTTCCTTGCATTCGTTTTTCTGTTGCCAGTACTGTGTTTCAGGATGCTCGGTGTTGTAGCCGAGCGTCTCGATTCCATCTTACCTTCTTTACGATTATCGGGGACAGAAACCGATGCTGCACTTTGTATAAGAAGCTTGTTGTTTTGAGCCAATCACCGTGCCGAAGCGGATTTAGCACCCAATCAGATGCCAGCAGCTACTCGTCGATAAATCAGGATCTGAACTAACCTTTTGACTCACCAATGGTGGGACAGAGCAGGATCCAGGGACGAAACAAGCTTTCGCTTAACAATCCTCCTGTTTCCTGTGCCAATAAGCGAACAGAGCCCCCAGCACTTCGACTTGATAGTAGATTATTGCATTTACGATGAAAAACGAGCAGAGTAAGAGAAAAACAACCACAACAGTTTCACGAAGTTACATAAGCTACTAGCACGTGGTTGGTTAGAGGCTGCCATGAACTCTCACAGGAATTTGGGAAACAGGACCAACCAGTTTTTGTCCATGCATCACTTGAATTCCCCTACCTTATTACATTCCCCTAGAGAAGGGAGAACTTTATTCCAACTAGGCACTACCCGATTCGAGAAGAACTTATTGCCTGTATATCTAGCCTAGGTCTTTGCTGTTTCAATTTTAGACAATGGTCTGAGGTAGCTCATTCAAAGAGATCAGTGGGCCTGAGACCACTGAGACCCTTCATGATTTTGAATGTCTCTATTAGGCCTCCCTCAGTTTGCGTTTTCTCATTTAGAACAATCCTAACTTAATTAATCGATCTTTTTTCGCGGTAACCAATGCTGGCCTTCTATCATTCGAGGGGCTAGTCTTTGCACATTCTCAATACAATTTACGTCCTTATACAGGAAGTGCGCCCAGGCCTGTACACAGTATTCCAAATGTGATCTGACCACTTGTTGATACAAAGGAGAAAGAACTCTGGCTTGGTACAACTCAGAGCTTTCCTGAGTCGAAATAACTCCTGTCGTGAATTGTTAGCTGCATGCTTGAACTACGCCGACGGTTTGAAGTTATTCGTCACTATGATGCCTAGATCGCGTGCTTCCGTAACACGTTGCAGTATCAGGGTGCATGCCATTACAACATCTTCCGCACTCGGAGTCAAGACTTGGCATTTGCTGCCGTTCAAGAGCAAATCCCAGTAGCCAAATCTTTAGATCGTGTAGCGCTTGAAATCATTGGTAAAAATATAGCAGTGATCCTGAGCACCCCGCGGTTGTACCCATTGGTCAACAGCCTCCGGTTTCGCATGGATAGTCCATAGAGCTGCTAGCTGTTGCCGTCAACTGAACCGATGGATAACCCCTAACGCAAAGATAACGGACATTTTTAGGTCTGTGGCTCGTCGATAAAACAAGGTCACATAGCTTTTCCATCCGGATCATTCGTCCTCGTAGGATCGATTGCTCCCAGAGAGCTGACTTTCTTGGTGCTGAATTTCATCCTGTTTTGGTTTCCGAAGTGCTATAGCTACACTCTAGAAAATGCCTTATCGTTGCTCACTCCAGCGATGTTTATGTCTCTGTCATTGAATAATGCTCAAAGGAATTCGTGAACTGCGGTCGAGTTCTTCCGGTTATCGAATGCAACAATGACGAACTCTGAATAGCGTGATGGTTTTGCGTTCAGAGCGCTACTTATGCTGGACGAAAAGTCACATCAGCGTAATTTGCCCGACGATCACGTGAGCTGGTAATCCAGCGTACATTATTTCTTTTGCAGGACCGCAAGGATGGGTCATGCGGTATCTCCTACCGAGTTACCGAGCCCGGTGAATACCAGTGTTCGGTCCGGTTCAACGACGAGCACATCCCTGGGTCTCCGTTCCAAGTTACAATCAACGAGACAATGGAACGCACGTTCTACAGCCCTGAGTTGCGTCAACTGAGCGTTTCCACTGTACAAGATCGTGGACTCCAGGTATATCGTCTACAGTGTAAATCACCCTATAGATATGTCAAAATGTTTGGGACCAGACTGACAAAAATCTCTGATAGAGCACGCCTGACGTCATCCGAATTTTTAGGAAAACCCACGAGCTCCAACACCTGAGCGTAGTTTCTAACTTGTGTTGTAATGCTACTTTCACTAATCTTTGCTTCGTACTCCAGCCCAAACTGGGAAAAGTCAGAAATGAAGTCTCGGTTGCCCACGTACATCCTGACCTAAATATCAGCTATATTTTTAGGTCAAGCACACCTTCCTATATGAGCATCGCACTCCTCCAATCATCTTTGCGTTGACCTTAACTGTTTCCATCGCGTTCCGCCCTGCTGATTGGCCACGGTGCACCACAGCTGGTCTTCTGTTTGCGGTTACTCCTAGGCCTGCCTGCATCGTTCGTGTGCACCAGATTTGCGTACATGCTTCGCGGCCGATCATAGGCTCGTCCACGCTGGCGGTTCGTTCACCCGACGTAACACTGTTCGTAGGCGCTCTTTCGGCTTAGCCACCGGACACTGTTCCTTCCATTTGATATCAAATTGTCAGTTACTACACAAACTGTATTTGGTCACCTAATGTGCTATATGTTCAACCCTCTCTGCGTTTTTCTAGATCGGTAGACCGACTGCATTCACGGTGAACTACACCGGGATGACTGGTCGCCTTCGAGCTTACGCCATTGCGCCTTCGGGTGCCCAAATCGATGCCTTTGTGCATCAAGTGGACGCAGACCAACATGCGGTGAGATTTACACCACAAGAGAACGGCCCACATCTGGTACACGTGCTCATGGACGAGAGGCCCATTCCTGGAAGTCCGTTCCGAGTACTCGTCGGTCATGATTCAGGTTTGGTGACAGCCAGTGGCGAAGGACTGTCTCACGGTCGAGTGGGTAAGTCGTCAGCTCAGCCGAAGTGGTGGCTTCACTTAAGTCCCTCTCACCCAGTGCTCACATATTAGTGTAATGAACTCACTCATCGTCCCACCCATTTAGGTGAACGCAATCGTTTCTTCGTCAACACCACACAAGCCGGTAGCGGAGCCCTCTCAGTGACTGTCGACGGTCCTAGCAAGGTGCAGTTGAACTGTACAGAGCGTCCGGACGGATATGAGTTTTCCTATCTTCCCACGATCCCGGGCGAGTATCTGATCAATATCAAGCATGGTGATCAGAGGCACATAATTGGGTCACCATTCAAGGTTAGTACTTCGGATCCCGTCGTGTCCGTATTCCGTACGCATTTGGAGCCTGCTCAGCCTAACTTCGGTTAGCTGTCTATGGACATCCCTTTTAAATTACTTTGTTGGTATTGGATTTCCGTCTGCATTCAAAGCTGTCGAGCGTCACCAACTAAAACGATCCACCTGTTTCGCCGGTTCTGTCTAACCGTAACTGTAGATTAAAAGAAATCTTTAATGGAAATGACTCTATATTATTCAAAAATGTTTCCAGGTGGCATAACTATGTAAAACTCCAACGTTCTAAAAAGAGACATCACATGGCCTCGTGGATCCAGTTAACACGAATGCTGTGTTACAAGCTTCGATACTCGCATCGGTATGGCACGGTCCATAGCCTTAGTATTCCAATCGTCACTACGAAGAACCTTAAGATATCGGCCTCCATAAATTAGTCTTGGGTGGAAACATTATAGTGTTTCTCATCCCAACACCGGCACCCCAAGACCGCGGTTTCGTCCTGATTGGGACTCATCAGTTGGAGATAGCCTGAGTTGGGCTGGAACTCAGAGCCTAGTAGCTCATGGTTGACGCCATAAGCACAATGCCACTGAGATCCGCGAGCACCGCTTGGTACAGCGGAAACGAATTCAAAGTTGGACTTGGAGAAACCGCGGTCTTGGGGTACCAGTGTTGGGATGAGCAACACTATAGTGTTTCCATTTTACTTACGGTCTTTGTGATCGGAATGTCCGAGGTCCACCTCTACTAAACCGAGGTCTCAATAGAGGTTGCTTGTAGCAACCCAACCACCAGCGGACCCTCCAAGTCCAACTTTTAATCTTGGGTGCTTTGCGTTACCTTACACGTAGACCCATTCAAACGCTATTTTTAAATTCAGTTCACTTCCGTTGCACAGCTATGATCCGAGCACCGAACTGCGATGAATCCAGTTGCGATGACTCACATCGCGAGAATAACATTAAACTTTATTGGGTTTGCTTTCTACCAGCTACTTCTGCTTAACTGCTATCAATCCCGCACTGATGATGCCACCTCGAATGGTGGTGAAACGTTTGCAATCAAGTTGCCCAGCTCGGAGAACTCCACAATAACTGAGCAAGCCTCCCTAGCTACCAATATTCCAATTCATTTCGAACGTCATTATAGTGAGGTTGGATGCGATAGAATGTAAAAATGAAGGCAAGTAGGAGGTGCATTCACCCAACCAGAATGGAACGAAAATTAACAATTAGCTTCAAGAAACCGAATGCACGAACGTGAGTGCGCCATGTCTGCTTTGGTCTCAAACTTTCGGTGGGAACCATCCCGAGGTTTCATCCACGAAGACGGCATGTACCAACCTGACCAAGCTTCTCAGTCAATTTCTTCATGCCTCTGTGCCACGTCATGAACTGGTCACCTCACGGTTTCACCCAACTCGGTGCAAGGACGGCGTATAATGCGCGCCGATGAAGCCGGTCGACGGGCATCCGGAGGATATTGTCTAGCCAAGGTAAGCCATTAAGATTCAACGAACACTCGATAGAGGATCCAGAAGGCTTCTTGACAAAATCCAACTGGGGGGCCTCAGCATTGCTCACCCGGTGTTCTCACCAGACGTAGGCAATGCTCCGCAAGCACCGGTGATCAAATACGGTCAAACGTCTGCTGTCTTCATTGCGAACTGGCCAGATCTCTGCTCTATACAGTAACACTGGTGTTATCGCAGCGTTATACACCCGAACTTTCACTGCTAGGCTTATATTCCGCCGTCACCATAGATTGTTGAGTCTCTGGAAATCCACACGGGCTTTGCTGATACGTGAAGTAGCTTCCTCAGTGATGTGACCACCAGAGGTGACACAGCTATCAAGGTAAGTGAACCGATCCACCACTTCCAGTGGTTGTTCGGTGGTAGCTAGAACCGGAGGTGGGTCGGTTCAGTTCTATAGCAGTACTTTGCACACTGAAGGTGCAAAGCACGTGCCGAAGCGTGTAGCGCTACGCGTCAGTCTATCCAGCAGTGTTTGCATGGGCATTGCGTCAGACCCAAGGAGAGTTTTGTCGTACGCATACCCCAGGTTTATCAGTCAGTCGCTGGTAGAACTTCCACTCCGGTAGGTTCTGAAAGAACGGAGTCACCAATGATCATTTCGATCACAAAGTTGAAGAAGAAAGGAGATATAGGACAACCTTGGTGAACCCCACTTGTCATGGGGAACTCAGGGAACAGTTTCCTGTAGACCCTTACACGACTTTGAGAGTCACGGTAGAGAGAATGCATATACTTCTTGTAGACCTGAACTACTAAGGCTAGGATGTTTACGGATGGCTGAATCGATTGTCTCGAGTATACCCACACCATCAGTGGACCCATGTCGCATCTGTGCAGATAAATCCACAGGAGTCATGTCCACGCGAACACGAAACTTCTTTGAGCGTTTGACTCAACCTTGACTGGAACTGTTGATCGTTATTTCGTGTGAACTTGGGAGGATGAGGGAGAGGAATGAGTTGAAGAGATAATAAGGGCAATGTCTGAGCCGTAACGTGTTCCACGAGAAATCTACTCTCTGAGCTTGGTAGCCATACCACGAAGGCTGTTCAGATCACCCCCGCAGTAACGAGAAACACTCAGAGTTGGCAACCAAGGGGAATGTATTGAATCGGTAGACGCTACAGCAAGAGTTAGTCATTCTAGGATAAACGATTGCTTCCGCATAAGTGAAGATACGGCAGAACCGACATCATACGCAGCACTGACAATGCAGTGTTTTCGGGCGGGCAACCCCCAATTTTTATCTGCTTCGGCTACGGTCCCAGTGATCGCAGTGACAAAGGTTCACTTCAAGGTGAATCGCGGTCCACATTGACATTGTGCGTCGCAATCCCATCACCCAACATGTAGTCCAAAATTGACCATCCAATTCATGTTGGACTGTCTTCTTGTATTGGGACAGGTGGCCTTTAGATAGTGGAGACAGGGGGCTGATTGGAGTGTAGTCAGACTTTGTCAAGAAACCGGTGGAGTCGCGTTAAACAGACAACCACCTTTGGTGCGACCAATGAAGAGCCTGTTCGCCAGCTCACTTCCGATTGGTTACATGACTCGTCTCCATAATTCGGACTCAACCAGTCTTGACACTTTATTTTTGGAAAAATATTCCGATGGAGATTGCATTCGATAAGCGAAATAGCATTTCAGCTACCAAGTACGTGATGTGCTTCTGTTGAGTCGGAGTGCCTATATTGTGCACTAATAGTTGAGTTGGCGCTACAAACACATAAGGTTTGGAAATAAATGAAGTATCATTCGCTGGATTTTTCTTTATCTCCAAAGTTCCCAGAGGGCCGGACTTTTGGTCACTTCTATACTCACATGTTAAACTATTTTGTCACCTAGTTCGGTCGGACCAGTCGATAACGTCATTGGACTAAGCCACAATCATGAATACTGTCTAGTTTGCTGGTTATCTTTGTTCCAACCCCTTCACAGGCCTACGTAACTGGAGAAGCTATGTATGAGGCTTCGATTGCGGATTCAACTCACGTGGTCGTGGAAACCGGCGGTCGTCTGGCCACTGGTCCACAGCGTTCCGTAACTGAGTCCAGTCCAAATCGTGTTGTCTGCACGGGAAACGGACTTCAACAAGCCTACCTCAATCAGACCAACACGTTCAATGTGAACGCAACTCAGGCAGGTAAGCCATGAGGGATTGTGAACAAGCGGTACCACAAACAATCTGGGCAGTATAGCTACCTTCTTTACATATCGCTGTGACGGATTGATGAGATGCTACTCTCCCAAATGGTTGTTGGATATCCGCTAACTGAACTACAGTTGTTACCAAATTATGGCATTAGAATAACTGCGAATAACTACGCTTTCCGAGTAATGGCTTTCGTATAAACCTCCATAGATAAGATCAAACACCAAACTTTGTTCAAAATATGGTATCCGTGATCAAAAATAGTATTTACACAGTGCACAAATTCACATCGATTAGTACTTCTCCTCATTTTAATTGACCCACTCTTACTTTCGACTTTATGACACCAGTTTGCTTTTATTGGCTTGCGTCAGATCACAGTTTGTCACTGGCCTGGCCAATCAGTTTCAGTATAATTTGTGCTGCCAGTCTGAACCAATCATGTGGCGCCGACCCAATCCACGCCATTATAATCATTCTTTTTGGCTTATCGGCAAGCACTGCTTGGCACTTGATTGGGTCGATTTCCACTAGTTGTGCATGTACTCCGTTCATCTGATTTATCAACTATCACCCAAGTAAGCACACAGGATACACACATAGACATATACTCAAGCGGGTTAATCCGCATTACTTAAAGTAACAGAGGCCGTAATGGCTCATGGTGAGTTCTCAGCGTTCGGTCGACACTCTGTTGTCGGGGTGACTTTTTGGAAGAATGCTGGGTACCTAATTACCGGTTACTATGACAGATGCGAGCACATAGTCACCTTCCCCATCATCAACAGCAGTGCGTCAATAACTTGCGCTTGATATCTATTGCAATATAGCTACAATGCAGGACAGTTCACTGCATCTGTAAGCAATAAATGGAGGAGTGGAAGATGAGCCAAAGTTGGACATAGATATTCCAAACAAACCTCTAAGATTAATGTTCCTGCACACTGTTAATACACGGTCGCACAGAGTAGGCTATCGCCTGGGATTAAGGTGCCATTGATGAGAGAGTTCTCTTACATTTTTCACTCTCTGTGCCCCATAACCTGCTTTACCTCGTTCACAACTCTGCACATTCTACACTATAAAGGGTTTATTCGACAAAGCAATACTATCGAAAATAACAACATAAATGGCCTGTAGATGCCTCGATGTATTTAACTAGGTCGTCTCCATAATTAACGACGCTTCTGACTTCATGGCATTTTTCCTTTACTTCAGTCAAACAAACTTACCCAAGCGCAGCGTAGAAGCTGGTATACGGAGAGATGTCCAATCATCTGCTTCGTTCGCTTGTGGTAATCTTGCCGCTTGCCTCGTCACGCAACTTCGTCTCTTCCCTTTGATTGCATCTTACCATCACAGCCTGTGATCATTTTCTGTTCACTGTCTTAGCCATACTGACAAAGATCATTTCTCAAAGGTTTCGTTTGGAGAGACGCGTCTATACGAAATGAAGCAGTCGGAATAGCACACAGACGTCAATCGCAATCGCGCATGCGGCTCGGATGGTTGAATATGATGGTATTCTAGAAGCAATCAAGATGACTAAGCTGGGCACTTAACTATCTCTCTTGATTACAGAAGAGTAGTAGGGGGAGTTGAATGGTATGGGTAGAACTTCGTCACATCTAGGCTCACTCAGACAGCCGCCACAAGCCCGGAAAAGCAGAAGCATTCCATAAATGAAATTCATTACGAACAACCCCCATAAGTTATTTGAGGGGTTACATTTAGAAAATCGATTTTTAAGGAGAGTGACCACTTTGTTTTCCACAGCAAGTGACTTGAATTATACAGAATGGTGAACTACGCTGTATTACGATGAGTAATCGAGCCACTCCAAAACCGGCATTCGCTGTGGTGTAGAGATTTAACTCAGTGGTCACCCCTCACCGTGCACGACTACGAGACACTTGTTTCTGAAGAATGTACTTTCCGCACAGTGGTTTGCAATATGCTGGTCTCTATCTGGTTGACCCTAAGTTAGATGGATTCCATTTTAGCCAGTTAATCGGTCCAGTTACTTTCTTTTCTGATGAGTGAATGTAGACACCCAGTTGATCTTATCTTTACCAAACTGGCATGTTGCGTGTTACTTGGTTTCCAGTTTAATGGTATTTCGAATTACTGCTCGCATGCTACAACCATTGAGGACCTTGTTGTACCTGACGGATCCTGGGTGATATACGGCCAGAGCTGTACAATCATTCAGTTAGTAGCGGGAAATATCACCATTGATGACTGGGCTAAGTACTGTTTGTTCATCTGACCTTCTCGGTTGGAATCCACTCGACTCCGTATGTACTTGAATCGACGTTTGGAACCACATCACTTGCAGTCGATTTTAGTGGCGTTTTCGCAATCGCCTCCTAGCCGGCTTGTCTGTTTTATCTTTGTGTGGCGCTGCGCCATCTGTGGAGCAAGGTTGATTTTGACGTGGGACAGCGTGAATTGCCCCATACTTATTCCAACTGTACGTTAGTGAAAAATCGTAAGCACATTGACTTCGATGATTTGGTTAGTTTGCACACTAGATCCACTTTCTCCAATTCTATTGTTCCTCAGTCTTAGGGTATTTATGATTGTATGACGTCGAAGCATGTGTACCAGGCAGTAATTGCTCTGGAGATATTCGAATGGAGCGAACCGATGGAATTGAGGGATGCGTCAGATAGCCAATCAGAGACAAACCAAAGGGATTCTGTCGTTGGACGCACTGGGTTTATCTGCCCGCCTACGCGGCCCTTTGATTGGTTGACATTGATCTGCGCTTCAACCTGTTTGTCCGTGCTTTGTTTTACTAGGTAAAAGAAGGAACCTCATTGTCTCAGAAATGTGGTCACCAATGGAAACAGACGAACAACATAAATCGAAATGATTTGGTGGTCAAACATGGTATTTTTCTCCGACACTTTAAGCAAACAATTGTTTTCGATTAATTCATCCTCAGGCTTATACATTGATATACATTAGTATAAGGTTTGTTATAAGCGTCCATATAACAAGAAATCAATTATGTAGATAATTTAACTTGTGATCATGATGCCAATCATCCACTCGCGTGATTGAAGTCACGTGGTCTTGCGGAACGCAGTTACTTCCATCCGTCTGATGTTCAGTCATGATAGCTGCAATGTCTGTACCATATTCCTCTGAACGCACACTTCGCGGCTTGATAGCCGTTTGCATCCTGCTTCCGCAATGACAAGCAGACTGGCTCTTACGCAATGGCTATGAATAGGCGGTAGTCTGTATAGAATCTGGAATGCACTAAATTTGTTGATCTGCTGACCGGAGTTGCTTAAGTAGTTTGTAATTGCACTGTTACTTGTTCTCTGTTCATGTTTTAAGACCCAAAATGGGAGAAGTTACTTGATTCTTTTACCTGAATGTGTGATCGTGCGTCCAGCATAATTAATCCAACCTGGGCAAGTGAATCAATAGATTAACATTGATTGGAAATGATCAGACACTCGGTGTTTGAACCAAGAAACTATTAAAGGTCTGCTCGTGAAAACCACTTTTATCCAGGCCACATAAAATGTCTTTTTGCAGATTTGATTTAGTCTCTGTGTGCATACCTCAGCTACACTAGTTCCTTAGAATGAAAGATTCAGGAAAAATTGTTTCTTTTCGACTGCTTGTTTCGACAATTTTCGCATACTTCGTCGCTTGTGGGCCTCGATAAAGCCCTCTGGATAGTCGTTTTTCATGAGTGTCTGATTTGTTTGAGTTCGGCTTCAAAGGTGTCTTTGCTGCAGCTTTTGGATGACTGGTCATTTAGTTTGGCGGCTGAATGGGCCGTAACTGTGAAAGTTCGTCTATTGCCTCGTCCAGTACGGCTTCCTGTATACTTTTACTTGGCTTGACCCGCCGTTCCTTCTGTCGATGCTTCCGTCTAAAAAATTCATCTGATTATCATTTTTTTCCTTATTCATAAATGTCGCAACGACAGCACAACTTTATCCTACCGTATATTAGTGTAAAAGCCTGAGGATGAATTCATCGAAATGTCATGTTTTTGCTTCGCTTTCTGCGTTTTACGTAATAAATGAGCATCATTCAGGAATTCTGAGAACCGCCGCTACTGCGCGCTTCCCTCGAGGACTTACTTTCTCCTGCTGGCACGGTGCTATGCTTTGCATATTACTGATGAGTAGTGATGATTTTAGCATAACTCGGCTAATTCACCATTGCCACTCTCAATCAGCAGGCTTAAGCTAGTCTGGAAGATGAGCCGCGCCAGATCATAGTCAATTGCCTATCTCGCAAGTCCGCGGCTGTCACCCATGGCGAAGTGGCACTAACTGCTGACATGTAAAAGTCATGGAGGTGAAACCCCGCCGGGGTCCGCTGGGAGGCCCACCACTGACGAGACCCAGAAGATCGAAAGGCCGGCGTCTGGGGTTTTTTCAGACTAGCCTAAGCCTGCTGATTGAGAGTGGCGATGACGAATTAACTGAGCTATGCTTTATGTTTATAATGTTACCCCTTCATGTGTGTAAACTGCACGATGATAAATTGATCTAACTATTTCTTTCCTAGGACACGACGTGCTATATGTAGGTGTTTCCGGACCGGTAGTCGCATGTGAGGAGGTCAACATCAAACACCTCGGACTCGGGCAATACGCCGTTAACTACGTGGTCAAGGATCGTGGACAGCATCTCATTATGGTGAAGTGGGGCGATCAACATGTGCCCGGCAGTCCGTTCTTAGTCAATGTGATTTGAGCACGCACTGTTCCTCTTAAGAATCCAAAGAGCGAACTTTATCAACGAAGCAACTGCGTGACTTTTGCCGCGTTATTTTACCTATATTTCCCAGATGCTTGAACATCGAATCACAGTTCCAAACAACATGGAGCTCTAGTTAATCGAATCACATCGCTCCGAGCATTTCATCACACTGTGCCTTTCGAATTGTGTGCTACGCACTCAAACCACTCGACCAACGTGTAGACGCTTTCCCCCTTCAAACCCCTTTTCGTTTTACAGCAGGTTTGACGGGACCGCACTTTTATGTGACTTCACTGTCCTCTTTTCGCAAATCTTATTTATTGGCAATTCCTAGCATTTTCAAAAGAGAGTGCGCTCCAGACGATGTATTGGCCTAGGTCTGCAAAGATCTTCTATCGCTCATTTGACACGTGCATTTCTGTAACCGAAATCTCTTTATCCTTAAGCCGTACGGTTTCCCGTACGTTATATTTGCTCTGCTTCCATAGCTATACCCATAGATACTACCTTGAGAAACCTCCCCAGCTTGAACTTGGATTGTTTCCCTCACTTCTACCGTTCTCTCACCGTCGCTCTGCCAAACTGCGATGAATTTGACCTCATATGATTTTTCTCTAATCTCCCCACCGCTCCTTTATGTAGATCATGTGTCCAGTTTCTCATACATACGACCCCTTGCTTATAGTCTTTGAAAAACGGTTACGATTCATTGATAGTTGTTCAATATGTATTCCCTGCATATGAGGAAAATCTCGATGAAATTTAGTCGAAGTAGTTCCATGCTACGCGCCGACCGCTATGAGCACTGCGCTCCATAATTGTTTTTGTTGTTGTGCTGTTCAGACCGAGGTAGCTTAACTGAAAGTCTAATCTGTGAGCCTGCATGTAGGTGTCATTTATCATCGCTTGAAAGCGTTATGATTGAAAGAAAGCCTCTGTTAGGATTGTCACTGGTACGGTTTGAGCACGCCTACGGTGACGGACTGGAACGCTGACCAGTCGAACGAAATTGCGCTGACCTGACGGCGTTAGCTTAGCCTGGGGTACGCGCTGGTGAGACAGAAATTGAGCGAGCGTGAGAACGATCTTAGCCGCAGTATTCGGGTAGACGCTGAGCCCTCGGAACGGACACACGCGAGTGAGGGTGACGGTGGACACGCGCTAGTGGCTTAGACGCGAACGCTGCCCAGCTATCGACGTACACACAAAGCACGCGACCGGACCGACTCCCAACTAACGGCAAAGAGCAAGCAAGACAATTGGTCCTCTGAAGGCTCTTTTACGAGCAACAAAGGGCAAATCACAGCCAATGCTATGGGTCATTAAGTTAGGGAAAATAGCTGCCACGACGGGTTGGTAGTTTGCAAAAGACCATTGTTAAAGGGTGCGCAGTTGGGCTGCGTCTCGGAGTGGCTGAACGCTGCTGCGTCGTTGGGAGGAATTAGACTCCGTTCGCCACATCCATTACGCCGGTGTTTCTGGCGCGTTTATGCGGGATATTTGACTGGCCCGCAACAGAAGGATACTGGTACTTCAAGCAAACGACTTGAGGCCTTATAACTCTTCACTTTTCGAATTCCTCCTGCTGGATGGGTAACTGTATTTTAAGACCATCGCTATAGCATTGTAGAGTAAAGCATATTCGTTGTTCGATTCCACCTAGAATATCTTCGCCTATCTATTTAGCTAATATTCGTCGCAACGAGACAGAAACTTGACGTGGTGTGACGTTTTCCATACCTCATCGACTCACTGAGCTGTACTGCATGGTGCCCCTGGGTCCATCGAGAGCTCCTCCTAACACGCTAATTATTGGTTATAGGTCAGACAAACTCAGTCTCCCGGCTCTCCAAATTGGGGGTTGTAAATGGGATGGTGTACATTTCTGTAAGGTCAAATCATTGGCACCTACCCGCTACCTTGCGGATAGGCTTTTGAACCAAATGCTTTATTAAAAGACCCTAATGGTTCTCCTGTCAAGGTATGGGTACCCTGCCAATATCTCAGCCCAGGTACAACAGTAATTATTTTCTAAAACTCCAACAACATCCTGCATCGGTCCTCGCGCAGCTTATCAAGGGTCGCCTTATCTGCTGCATACAGCATGGCGGATAAGCGAAAACATGCTACTGCTGGCGCCTCCTCTTTTCTTTTCCACCTGTTTCTCTAACTCCCCTCCCAGCTCCCATTACTGACATGCTAGAATTCCCATTTTAATTGACGGCAACCGCAATGTCACTGGAGTCATACCATCTGCAGCAACGTTCCCGCACCACCCATTGGACCCCCAATTGCTAATAGCTCCTTATACGGCCACACTGTCCCGTTTCCCTTGCGGCGTTCAACGTTCACACTCTGAGACAAATTGGTTAACTGGGTGCACTCGCACGCACGTTGGACACATTGGGTCTTGACGTGTGTTGTGTGTCCAAACTAGGATCAATGACCCTCACAAGGTTGTTGAATTAACTGCGCCTGGCTTGTCCTCTTGCTATTGATTGCACACATCTGGAGACACTGATGCGGCAGTCTCTAGTCAAGTTGGGTTGTTCAGCTTTCGCATCTCCAAAGCTGTCATTGTTGGTTGATTGGATTCCGTGAACAATAGTTTGTGTGCAGCCTGTTTGACGACCACAACTAAGGTTGATTCACGAAATAGTGATAAATGCTGTTCCTTCGTGATTTCTGGTTATGTTCCGATGCTACCAAAGACACTCTCTGCCACGAACTGAACCTGCTACTTCGCAGTGTTGCCAGTACAGATATTGTTGTAGCTGCATAAATAGGTCGTCTGAGCTCCCCAGAAGCTCAGCTAGGTGGTGTAGATTTAACTCCAACCGTACGGAAAACGGCGAGCGTCTTTTGCAACTGTGTGCGGAGAACCAGCTGCTTGTTGGTCGCACTGCTTTCAGACAGTGGGTGCCGAGGTGCCACTTGGCGTCATACTGTAGGTGTCCAGCGATGGACCCAAATTGACCACATAGCCATAAGTTACAGATGGCGTGATTCCATCCTGGAATGCCGCTCGTACTGGAGTATTTATGTCGACCCTGATCATGCCTCGGTACACTGTCATTTCTCCACGAACTTTATCGCGAGGCGCACCAAGCATCTCCTCCGATTGACAACTGCGAAGTCATCTCAGCCCACGATCAGGCAAGACTACCAGAATGCACTGCATACCGAAATTTCGCTCTCTTGTCCTAATGACACTGAGCTTCAGTGGAATTGGATCTCGGCCGCCATGCACAATGCCGGAGCATCTGCTTGTGGTACTGTCACTCATCTCCGGACCAGTCACTGGATATCCGAGAGGTCGGTGAACCTATTGGAATCTAGAAGTAACCTCTCGGCTTGCCCTGACCACCATATGACCAGACGGGCCATTAGGCGCGAACTAAAGCGGAGCCTGCGTTCTGACAAGGCAGTCTGGTGGACCAGTCGGGCTCAAGAAATGGAGGAGGCGGGAGCATTTGGGAATAATCGCAAGCTCTTACACTCGATTCGCACCACTGGCCCAGAAGTCAGTGAGATAAACAGAGGCGACACATGTGCTCCAATTCACAATAAGGAGAGCTGTATGGATCGTTGGGCGGAGGACTTTCGGGAGCAGCTCAATTGGTCCCATGCTCTCTGACCACTTTCTACTCAGGTGACGTAGACATTGTCATGAAGGGTCAAGTTAGAGGCTCCATCAGAGGCTAAAGTCCGAAATGCGATTACCGCCTTTAACCGTTTTCGTGCTGCTGGCTCGGATTCCTTCGCATCCGCACTATTTAGGTGTGGTGGTAAGGTCCTCCCCAATGCACTGACGTCCCTGTTCGAAAATGTCTGGAAGGAGGAGATCATCTAGTGTAGTTGGATTGAATCGATTATAATGATAATATACAATAATGGCAGTCTCACCGATTGTGCTAACCACAGGGGGTATTAGCCTACCGCTGGTGGTGATAAAGTTACAGGCTTCAATTCTCGTTCGTCATCTCAATGCGGAACGAGAATGCCGGTTTAGGTAAGAGCAAATAGGTTTCCACCATTTAGGGAGGCGTATAGGCTGCATATTCACTCTGTGCCAGGTGCTAGAGCAGCGTCAGACATACCGCAGCCTGACAATAGCTGTGCTCCTGGACTTCAAGAGTGCCCTTGACTCAGTCGATCGATGCATTTTGTTCGAAACACTTGCGCGAAATGGTGTTCCCGTTAAAAAAATGTGAACATTTCACCTGTGCTATACTCGAACACCACAGGCCGCGTCAAGATGGTATACGGGGATTTTTTAATTGCCTTTCCGACAGCAGGTGGCGTTCGCCAGTGTTGCTCAATTTCCTCATTTTTGTTCAACTTCTTCGCGGATTAAATCAAGGAGCGTTCCTCACGATACATGTGTTGTGATGCTGTCTGGTGAAAAGCTAGTTGCTTTTGATTATGCGGACGATATCGCCTTTGCTTTTTTGACGAGGTTGCGGCGACACAATCAACGCTGAATAGCCTGTTTAGACTGATCCCGTTATTTGGTATGCACTTTGCACCTTCAAAGTGCAAACGGTTGCGGCAGGACCACCAGCTACTTGATGACTTCTTGATCCTTGCTTGTGAGGAAGTCAAGGTAGTTGATCACTTCACCTACATTGGCAGTGCATCAGCAACGATGGGCTTATAACGACTAAAATCAGTTTATGCATTGCAAAGGCTAGAGCTGCCTTTTTGAATCTGCGACATTTGAGGCATCAGAAAGGAGTTTCCCCCTATCTGGAAGGTCGGGTTTACAAGGCCACAGTGAGAGCCGTTCTGCTCTAGGGCAGTGAGAGTTGGCCCCTTCGGTCTGAAAATCTAAAGCGTCTTCAAATCTTTTACCATCGCTGTCTGCGGAGCATTTCTGGTGTCGCGTGGCACCCGCATGTTCGCAGCGATGATGTGCGTAAACGAGTGTTAGACGGTGATTAACGGGCTACTTCCTTAGAACAACAGATCGCACTAAGTTGCGTTGTCTTAGA